AAGAAATCAAAGAACAAAGAGCAACAGTTTCTTCTTGTATCCAAAGTATATCGTGTTATTAAGTAGCAAAGTGCAGTTTCAAAAGTATCTGAAGACTGATGTGTCTCCAAAGTTTTTTCCCCATTTACAAGTCTGTACCGCAATTCTTTTGATTTTGAAAACTCCATTGTTGTTGACAATAACTTTTTTCCTTTGAAAGTCTGCTGCTTCAGGTGGGTGATTCATGGTTTCAGGATTCTGAGCCACGCTGGAGCCACGGGCAGGCTCAAATCGCTGTCTCTCTCTCTCACACACCCCCCCCCCACTCACTGCCAATGCAGTGGTGGAGCTCCGGCAATCGCGACAAGCCTCTTTATGCCTGGCTGGTCCCTCGACACCCACTGCCTTTTTTTGGGGGGTGCCTAACCCTGGCACTCTCCTCCATTGCTCTAACCCCTGCCCCCGGTAATGGTCGCCTTTTAGACGGACGACTCGCACCACGCCGCCATTTCCCTTCGCAGGCAAACCAGAAACCCCACTCATGGACTCATTGTTAAAACCGTGTTTATGGAAGACTATCTTACTCGGCTCTGAGTGATCGCCAAAGAAGAATTTTTCTCTTGAGTGTGCATTGAGGCTTATTATACAGTATATATTTTTCAACAGCATTTGTTCATTAGAGCTGTGATCTGAGGGGCTATACTCTCATTGCAAAGATACATCATTTACATACGTCAACAGAATACCAGTGAATGCATTTGTGTCTATGAAAAATATCAGATCAATTCACACCAGATTAACAAATGGGGATGGGAGAAATATTAAAGCAACACTATAAACAAGTGATGAATACACGGGAAATAACACATGGGAAAGAAAACAGAACATAGCTATGTAAATTTAACTCTGATCAGGAGAACAATCTGCAACACAGCCACTAAAAGGAATAAATATTCTAATGGAAGCAAATTCTAATTCTGAACACAATCATTGGTTTACTCTCTATAGGCATTATTCAATATGATTAAATATCTTCCCACACTCCAACCTTTCTGTTTCCCTTGTACGAGTTCTTTTCAGTTTAGTAAGGGAGCCCCTGTGACATAAGTTGTTTCTATAGGCCAAACATTTCTAAGATTTCCTCCCTGTATGGGTTCTTTGGTGGCTAGTAAGGATATTACTACGACTGAAGCTTTTTCCACACTCCGAACACGTATACGATTTCTCTCCTGTATGAGTTCTTTCATGCGACTTAAGGGAGCTACTGTGACTGAAGCTCCTTCCACACTCTGAACATGTATACGGTTTCTCTCCTGTATGAGTTCTTTGATGCGACTTAAGGGAGCTACTGCACCTGAAGCTCCTTCCACACTCCGAACATGTATAAGGTTTCTCTCTTGTATGAGTTCGTTGATGCAACGTAAGGGAGCTACTGCAACTGAAGCTTTTTCCACACTCCGAACATGTATACGGTTTCTCTCCTGTATGAGTTCGTTGATGCAACGTGAGTTGGCTACCGCGACAGAAGATCTTTCCACACTCCAAACATTTAAACGGTTTCTCTCCTGTGTGCAATCTTTGATGCAAGGTAAGGCTACCACTCTGGCTGAAGCTCTTTCCACACTCCAAACATGTATATCGTTTCTCCCCTGTATGAATTCTTTCATGCGAAGAAAGGTAGTCGTTGCGACTGAAGCTCTTGCCACATTCCCAACATTTATAAGGTTTGCTGCCTCGATGAGTTTGTTGATGTCTAGTAAGCCCATAGCTGTGAGCAAAGCTCATTCCACACTCCAAACACGTATGCTGTTTCTCCCCTGTATGAGTTCTTTGATGCGACTTAAGGGTGCTACTTTGAGTGAAGCTCCTTCCACACTCTGAACATGTATACGGTTTCTCCCCTGTATGAGTTCGTTGATGCGACTTAAGGGTGCCACGTTCTCTGAAGCTTTTTCCACACTCTGAACATGTATACGATTTTTCTCCTGTATGAGATCTTTGATGCGAGGTAAGGGCACCACAGTGACTGAAGCTCTTTCCACACTCTGAACATGTATACGGTTTCTCCCCTGTATGAGTTCGTAGATGCAAGCTGAGGGAACTGCTCTGACTGAAGCTCCTTCCACACTCTAAACATGTATACGGTTTTTCTCCTGCATGAGATCTTTGATGCGACTTAAGGTGGCCACTCTGACTGAAGCTCATTCCACACTCCGAACATGTATACAGTCTCTCCCCTGTATGGGAACTTTGATGCGACTTAAGGGTGCGACGTTCACTGAAGCTTTTTCCACACTCTAAACATGTATACGGTTTTTCTCCTGTATGAGATCTTTGATGCGAGGTAAGGGCACCACAGTGACTGAAGCTCTTTCCACACTCTGAACATGTATACGGTTTCTCCCCTGTATGAGTTCGTAGATGCAAGGTGAGGGAACTACTCTGATTGAAGCTCTTTCCACACTCCGAACATGTATACGGTCTCTCCCCTGTATGAGTTCTTTGATGCGACTTAAGGGTGCTACTCCTACTGAAGCTCCTTCCACACTCTAAACATGTATACGGTTTTTCTCCTGTATGAGATCTTTGATGCGACTTAAGGTGGCCACTCTGACTGAAGCTCATTCCACACTCTGAACATGTATACGGTCTCTCCCCTGTATGAGATCTATGATGCATGGTAAGGACACTACTGTGACTGAAGCTTTTTCCACACTCTGAACATGTATACGGTTTCTCCCCTGTATGAGTTCGTTGATGCACGGTAAGGGCACTACTGTGACCGAAGCTCTTTCCACACTCCAAACATTTATAAGGTTTCTCCTCTGTATGAGTTTGCTGATGCGAGGTAAGGCTGCTACTGTTACTGAAGCTCTTTCCACACTCCAAACATTCATGCTTTTTCTCCTCTCTGGGAATTTGGTTTTCATCACACTGAGACATACAAGAGTCACCCTCCGGCTTCTGCTTTCGTTCCCCTCTCGCCTGCTGCCTCCATCTTGAACCCTCAGATCCCTTTGCTCTTTGGATCCTTTCGGTGACACTTCGGATTGTTCCCTTCTGCCAGCAGTTTTCGGGCTGTGGCTCCGATTGGGGTGGAACGCTT